CTTTATTGAAAGTGGACGTGCCGGAGTGGTTATCGGGCATGACTAGAAATCATGTGGGCTTTGCCCGCGCAGGTTCGAATCCTGCCGTTCACGTTTTTATTTATTGTGTTTGTAAGTTTCTAAAATTTTGTATTACTTTTTGTGGAACTTTTATTTTGAATGGTTTTCCATCGATCATGTTAGTTTCTTTTTAGTTTTTAGTACCCATATAAAAATGCGAATCAATACACACGACAACGTGAAAGCTATAAAGTCAACTTTCTTTGTACTTCTCTTCTCGATAATTTTCAGATTGAGTAAAAGTCTTATTTGGAATCATCTACATGCATAAATTTGTACAATACAAAACCGACCTTAGCTCAGTTGGTAGAGCGGAGGACTGTAGTTGACGCAGATTATCCTTAGGTCACTGGTTCGAATCCGGTAGGTCGGAAATTATATTCTGAAGTTTTTATTTTTTAGTTTCTTTTCAATATTTTTTGACAAGAGTATAACTAAAAACTCATTATTATATGAAAAATTAGTTTAAGAGAATTCGTACATGTTGAGTTTATTATCGGGAATGAGTGGAATTATAAAGGTTCTTTTCACTATACTTAAGACCGCTACTGGTTTACCTATCAAATTCCTAAATTTACGAGACTAATTTAAGAGATTATGCGATTTTCATATATTGTTTGTATACATTCTTAGTTTTTTTACGACCTTTTAGATATGGATTACTATGTGTATCCTACCTTAATGCAAATCATTGTGTTCACTCATTTTTTAGATAAGTACTCATGGGTCGAGTATAATAAAATCCGACCTTAGCTCAGTTCATAGAGCGAAGGACTGTAGTTGAAGCAGAATATCCTTAGGTCACTGGTTCGAATCCGGTAGGTCGGAATTTTCTCTTGCATGGGTCTTTTTACTGTGTTGTGACTTTTGGTTTGTTGAATATTAGATCTAATTGGTATACGTTAGTCAGAGAATAACACTTAATCAAAAAGATTTGTTCGAATTCTTACACGATTGGTATGTTTAAATTTCTCAAATATTGATACCATAAGAAATGGTTTTAAAATTTCTAAAAACTATGAGCTTGCCTTGTTTCTTTCATTTAATCAAGATATAGTTATAGAGTTTTGAAAAAAAAAAAACTATTGGCATAATTGGATTCAAAGGCTTGAGGGTTGTGCCTATAAAATGTCAACGTTCATCCAACGGTAGTGAAATGCCCTTTGCCACTTTCTTGCACGATTTTGGTGGCTTAGTTTTTCAAATACATAGACAATCATAATCCACACTCAATATTATTAGAGGCATATATGTTAGTCAACACCAAAAATAACAACAAAGGAGCTCTTTAAATAAGAAAATTTTTTCTTATTTTTAACAACGTATTAGAATAATGAAAAAATCAAGATAGCCGAAATTTGTTTAGGGTTTTGAACTTGTTGGTTTAGTTCAGAAACTGCATCATGCTTAGGCTCGTATACTTCTCGCTCGAGATCATCATTTAATATAGAGAATTGTATATGGCTTGGCCTATTTTGAAATACGAGTATATTTTATTGAAAGTGGACGTGCCGGAGTGGTTATCGGGCATGACTAGAAATCATGTGGGCTTTGCCCGCGCAGGTTCGAATCCTGCCGTTCACGTTTTTATTTATTTTGTTTGTAAGTTTCTAAAATTTTGTATTACTTTTTGTGGAACTTTTATTTTGAATGGTTTTCCATCGATCATGTTAGTTTCTTTTTAGTTTTTAGTACCCATATAAAAATGCGAATCAATACACACGACAACCTGAAAGCTATAAAGTCAACTTTCTTTGTACTTCTCTTCTCGATAATTTTCAGATTGAGTAAAAGTCTTATTTGGAATCATCTACATGCATAAATTGTTACAATACAAAACCGACCTTAGCTCAGTTGGTAGAGCAGAGGACTGTAGTTGACGCAGATTATCCTTAGGTCACTGGTTCGAATCCGGTAGGTCGGAAATTATATTCTGAAGTTTTTATTTTTTAGTTTCTTTTCAATATTTTTTGACAAGAGTATAACTACAAACTCATTATTATATGAAAAATTAGTTTAAGAGAATTCGTACATGTTGATTTTATTATCGGGAATGAGTGGAATTATAAAGGTTCTTTTCACTATACTTAAGACCGCTACTGGTTCACCTATCAAATTCCTAAATTTACGAAACTAATTTAAGAGATTATGCGATTTTCATATATCGTTTGTATACATTCTTAGTTTGTTTACGACCTTTTAGATATGGATTACTATGTGTATCCTACCTTAATGCAAATCATTGTGTTCACTCATTTTTTAGATAAGTACTCATGGGTCGAGTATAATAAAATCCGACCTTAGCTCAGTTGGTAGAGCGGAGGACTGTAGTTGAAGCAGAATATCCTTAGGTCACTGGTTCGAATCCGGTAGGTCGGAATTTTCTCTTGCATGGGTCTTTTTACTGCGTTGTGACTTTTGGTTTGTTGAATATTAGATCTACTTGGTATACGTTAGTCAGAGAATAAGACTTAATCAAAAAGATTTGTTCGAATACTTACACGATTGGTATGTTTAAATTTCTCAAATATTGATACCATAAGAAATGGTTTTAAAATTTCTAAAAACTATGAGCTTTCCTTGTTTCTTTCATTTAATCAAGATATAGTTATAGAGTTTTGAAAAAAAAAAAACTATTGGCATAATTGGATTCAAAGGCTTGAGGGTTGTGCCTATAAAATGCCAACGTTCATCCAAGGGTAGTGAAATGCCCTTTGCCACTTTCTTGCACGATTTTGGTGGCTTAGTTTTTCAAATACATAGACAATCATAATCCACACTCAATATTATTAGAGGCATATATGTTAGTCAACACCAAAAATATCAACAAAGGAGCTCTTTAAATAAGAAAAAAATTTCTTATTTTTAACAATGTATTAGAATAATGAAAAAATCAAGATAGCCAAAATTTGTTTAGGGTTTTGAACTTGTTGGTTTAGTTCAGAAACTGCATCATGCTTAGGCTCGTATACTTCTCGCTCGAGATCATCATTTAATATAGAGAATTGTATATGGCTTGGTCTATTTTGAAAGACGAGTATACTTTATTGAAAGTGGACGTGCCGGAGTGGTTATCGGGCATGACTAGAAATCATGTGGGCTTTGCCCGCGCAGGTTCGAATCCTGCCGTTCACGTTTTTATTTATTGTGTTTGTAAGTTTCTAAAATTTTGTATTACTTTTTGTGGAACTTTTATTTTGAATGGTTTTCCATCGATCATGTTAGTTTCTTTTTAGTTTTTAGTACCAATATAAAATGCGAATCAATACACACGACAACGTGAAAGCTATAAAGTCAACTTTCTTTGTACTTCTCTTCTCGATAATTTTCAGATTGAGTAAAAGTCTTATTTGGAATCATCTACATGCATAAATTGTTACAATACAAAACCGACCTTAGCTCAGTTGGTAGAGCGGAGGACTGTAGTTGACGCAGATTATCCTTAGGTCACTGGTTCGAATCCGGTAGGTCAGAAATTATATTCTGAAGTTTTTATTTTTTAGTTTCTTTTCAATATTTTTTGACAAGAGTATAACTACAAACTCATTATTATATGAAAAATTAGTTTAAGAGAATTCGTACATGTTGAGTTTATTATCGGGAATGAGTGGAATTATAAAGGTTCGTTTCACTATACTTAAGACCGCTACTGGTTCACCTATCAATTTCCTAAATTTACGAGACTAATTTAAGAGATTATGCGATTTTCATATATCGTTTGTATACATTCTTAGTTTGTTTACGACCTTTTAGATATGGATTACTATGTGTATCCTACCTTAATGCAAATCATTGTGTTCACTCATTTTTTAGATAAGTACTCATGGGTCGAGTATAATAAAATCCGACCTTAGCTCAGTTGGTAGAGCGGAGGACTGTAGTTGAAGCAGAATATCATTAGGTCACTGGTTCGAATCTGGTAGGTCGGAATTTTCTCTTGCATGGGTCTTTTTACTGCGTTGTGACTTTTGGTTTGTTGAATATTAGATCTACTTGGTATACGTTAGTCAGAGAATAAGACTTAATCAAAAAGATTTGTTCGAATACTTACACGATTGGTATGTTTAAATTTCTCAAATGTTGATACCATAAGAAATGGTTTTAAAATTTCTAAAAACTATGAGCTTTCCTTGTTTCTTTCATTTAATCAAGATATAGTTATAGAGTTTTGAAAAAAAAAAAACTATTGGCATAATTGGATTCAAAGGCTTGAGGGTTGTGCTTATAAAATGTCAACGTTCATCCAAGGGTAGTGAAATGCCCTTTGCCACTTTCTTGCACGATTTTGGTGGCTTAGTTTTTCAAATACATAGACAATCATAATCCACACTCAATATTATTAGAGGCATATATGTTAGTCAACACCAAAAATATCAACAAAGGAGCTCTTTAAATAAGAAAAAAATTTCTTATTTTTAACAATGTATTAGAATAATGAAAAAATCAAGATAGCCAAAATTTGTTTAGGGTTTTGAACTTGTTGGTTTAGTTCAGAAACTGCATCATGCTTAGGCTCGTATACTTCTCGCTCGAGATCATCATTTCATATAGAGAATTGTATATGGCTTGGTCTATTTTGAAATACGAGTATACTTTATTGAAAGTGGACGTGCCGGAGTGGTTATCGGGCATGACTAGAAATCATGTGGGCTTTGCCCGCGCAGGTTCGAATCCTGCCGTTCACGTTTTTATTTATTGTGTGTGTAAGTTTCTAAAATTTTGTATTACTTTTTGTGGAACTTTTATTTTGAATGGTTTTCCATCGATCATGTAAGTTTCTTTTTAGTTTTTAGTACCCATATAAAAATGCGAATCAATACACACGACAACGTGAAAGCTATAAAGTCAACTTTCTTTGTACTTCTCTTCTCGATAATTTTCAGATTGAGTAAAAGTCTTATTTGGAATCATCTACATGCATAAATTGTTACAATACAAAACCGACCTTAGCTCAGTTGGTAGAGCGGAGGACTGTAGTTGACGCAGATTATCCTTAATTAGGTCACTGGTTCGAATCCGGTAGGTCGGAAATATATATTCTGAAGTTTTTGTTTTTTAGTTTCTTTTCAATATCTTTTGACAAGAGTATAACTACAAACTCATTATTATATAAAAAAGAGATTAGTTTTAGAGAATGCATACATATTGAGTTTATTATCAGGAATGAGTGGAATTATAAAGGTTATTTTCACCATAGTTAAGACCGCTACTGGTTTACCTATCAAATTCCTAAATTTACGAGACTAATTTAAGAGATTATGCGCTTTTCTTATATTGTTTGTATACATTCTTAGTTTGTTTACGACTTTTTAGATATGGATTACTCTTGTGTATCCTAACTTAATGCAAATCATTGTGTTCACTCATTTTTTATATAAGTACTCATGGGTCGAGTATAATAAAATCCGACCTTAGCTCAGTTGGTAGAGCGGAGGACTGTAGTTGAAGCAAAATATCCTTAGGTCACTGGTTCGAATCCGGTATGTCGGAAATTATATTCTGAAGTTTTTGTTTTTTAGTATCTTTTCAATATCTTTTGACAAGAGTATAACTACAAACTCATTATTATATAAAAAATTAGTTTAAGAGAATGCGTACATGTTGAGTTTATTATCAGGAATGAATTGAATCATAAAGGTTATTTTCACTAAATTTAAGACCGCTACTGGTTTACCTATCAAATTCCTAAATTTACGAGACTAATTTAAGAGATTATGCGATTTTCTTATATTGTTTGTATATATTCTTAGTTTGTTTACGACTTTTTAGATATGGATTACTATGTGTATCCTAACTTAATGCAAATCATTGTGTTCACTCATTTTTTATATAAGTACTCATGGGTCAAGTATAATAAAATCCGACCTTAGCTCAGTTGGTAGAGCGGAGGACTGTAGTTAAAACAGAATATCCTTAGGTCACTTGTTCGAATCCGGTAGGTCGGAAATTATATTCTGAAGTTTTTTTTTTAGTATATTTTCAATATCTTTTGACAAGAGTATAACTACAAACTCATTATTATATAAAAAATTAGTTTATGAGAATGCATACATGTTGAGTTTATTATCAGGAATGAGTGGAATTATAAAGGTTATTTTCACTATAGTTAATACCGCTACTGGTTTACCTATCAAATTCCTAAATTTACGAGACTAATTTAAGAGATTATGCGATTTTCTTATATTGTTTGTATACATTCTTAGTTTGTTTACGACTTTTTAGATATGGATTACTATGTGTATCCTAACTTAATGCAATTCATTGTGTTCACTCATTTTTTATATAAGTACTCATGGGTCGAGTATAATAAAATCCGACCTTAGCTCAGTTGGTAGAGCGGAGAACTGTAGTTGAAGCAGAATATCCTTAGGTCACTGGTTCGAATCCGGTAGGTCGGAATTTTCTCTTGCATGGGTCTTTTTCTGCGTTGTGACATTTGGTTTATTGAATATTAGATCTAATTGGTATACGTTAGTCAGAGAATTAGACTTAATCAAAAAGAGTTGTTCGAATTCTTACACGATTGGTATGTTTAAATTTCTCAAATATTGATACCATAAGAAATGGTTTAAAAAATTCTAAAAACTATGAGCTTTCCTAGTTTCTTTCATTTAATCAAGATATAGTTATAGAGTTTTGAGAAGAAAAAAAACTATTGGCATAATTATATTCAAAGGCTTGAGGGTTGTGCCTATAAAATGTCAACGTTCATCCAAGGGTTATGAAATGCCTTTTTCCACTTTCTTGCACGATTTTGGTGGCTTAGTTTTTCAAGTACATAGACAATCATAATCCACACTCAATATTAGATGCATATATGTTAGTCAACACCAAAAATATCAACAAAGGAGCTCTTTAAATAAAAAAATTTCCTATTTTTAACAATATATTAGAATAGTGAAAAATCAAGGTAGCCAAAATTTGTTTAGGGTTTTAGACTTGTTGGTTTAGTTCAAAAATTGCATCATGCTTAGGCTTGTTTACTTCTTGCTCGAGATCAACATTTAGTATAGAGAATTGTATATGGCTTGGTCTATTTTGGAATACGAGTATACTTTATTGAAAGTGGACGTGCCGGAGTGGTTATCGGGCATGACTAGAAATCATGTGGGCTTTGCCCGCGCAGGTTCGAATCCTGCCGTTCACGTTTTTATTTATTGTGTTTGTAAGTTTCTAAAATTGTGTATTACTTTTTATGGAACTTTTATTTTGAATGGTTTTCCATCGATCATGTTCGTTTCTTTTTAGTTTTTAGTATTCATATAAAAATGCGAATCAATATATACGACAACGTGAAAGCTATAAAGTCAACTTTCTTTGTACTTCTCTTCTCGATAATTTTCAGGTAAAAAAAAATTTCTCAAAAATACTAATGGTAAAATAATTTTTTTTTTTTTTTTTTTTTTTGGACAAAACATAATTTCATTCAAACCATAAGAAGTACAAAGTTTAAGATAACATCAACCTCATGGTTGAGAACAACAAAGATAACTACTAGCACTCTTACAAGAGATTGGTAAAGGAGATGGTTAGGATAATTCGACGTTAAATCCATACATCGGAGACAAGAACAAGGTAGTAACTTGCCATAAGCGAAAGAATGGTGAGTCGAAGACAATTCCACGAATACTACGGGAGATTGTTGAATGGTCACGGTCCAATAGAGACATAGTGACGTTGAGAAGGAGTTCTTAGCCTTGGGCATCACCGGTTTGTGGAACGGCACTTCTAAGAAGATGATTAGGATACCCATACGGTTTCGGAACAAGATGGTTGGAGACCAATCAAAAGTTCTCTCGATTAAAGAGGATGATTTTACCATAGATTTCTTAGATAGATAAAAACGGTTTGAGATACTCTCTAAGGCACTAAGATGCTCTTCCACTAAGGTTAAAGAACGATCCTTGACTAGTCTATCTATTGGTGCCACCACGAATTGAGTATGGAGTCCTCGGCCATTCTCATACACGTATAGAAACATCAATATACTAGGACTCGAAAAGGAAAAGAGATAAACAGACCTGGGCCAAACTGATGAATGGACTAGACCATTAGAATGCTTAGTGGGCCGTGGAAGGATGATTAGTGGGCCAGATATTGAGAAGCCCATCAATAGGTTTTTCCTAATCTTAAACTCCTAATGTTTATTTTTTTTATGGAAGTCATATACGGTAAATTTGATTAGACCCTTGTGTCTCTAATTTCAGATCTTTTGCTTAGTTGGATTCGGGTCACAAGATCCGCTTACAATGTTAAAATAAATGTAACAAAAGTATTTATTCAAAAAGTATTCATCGGCGATGAACCACATGTTTGTTGGAAAAAAGAAAATCAAAGTTTACCCAACAAAAACCTGTCAATTTTGTTTGGGTTTATCATTTTGTTTTTCTTTATTTTTGTTAAAGAATCATTGTTTTTATTTTCTCGTGGATAACCAAATATTCCTTTACGATTCACAATCTTTACGCTTAGTTCCAATATTTCTTTTCCCCCAAATCTCTCTCACCTCTCTTCTTGTTCCTGGCAAAGACGAACCCGAACTACAAAACCTCTATAAAGGAATTATCCATCCCTTCAACGAAGCTCTGCTATTGTACAGTATACTGTTTCCTTCATGAAGTTGCTTAAATAGACAAAATAACATTAATTACTTCTTAATATCATATTTTGTTTGTTATTTACAAATGTTTTGGATAAACTTAACTACGTTTCTTATGGGAATAAGAAAACTCTTTATCCTTGTCCAAGTAAAAAATAGATAATTAATGACTATAAATACAGTTTCATTGCTTAGGAAACAAAACGTAATTATTATTATTTTACTCAAACGTATTCTTGTTTCTTATTGCAGAGAGATCATGGACACTGAACTTATTATCATTATAGCCAGTCTTGTTTTCGCTTTGATGGTGTGGGTAGTGATGAATTGTTGTGAGATGTGTTCTCTCCATGAGGCAAAGAAGACAGTCACTGGTGGCGGTGATGAAGGTGGTAGAGCCGTGGAGCCGGTGGTGGCGACAGCAATGGTGGTAGTTGTAGTGGTGGCGGAGGAAGATGTGGCGACGGCTAAGGATTCGACGTAGAATTGTTTTTTTTTTTTATCACATCATAAATGAACCAAGATTATGCTGCTATGATTTAGATAGATATTTTATTTTTAATACTTAATACTGAAGTTTATTTTTCAAATATGTGATTTGATTTACTTTATTCTCATTTAATTAGGTTGAACTAAATATTATCTAAATAAGTTTGAGTTTATCTCTCCACCTAAGTTGCATTGAATTTGAAGCGAACCATTGTTGGTTCACTCGTAGGGGTGAGCTATTTTATTCAGCTCCTATTTTTCTAAACAATAAGAATTTGCCATCTAATAAAAGAAATAAAACTAAAATATTTAGTTCTAAAATCAAATCCCTAATCACTCTTTTATAAAATCGAAACAATCATTTTTAATTGCAAAATCTAAACCCTAAACACTTTTTTTATAAATCCAATACCGACATATAACCTCGTTTAACTGTAAAATGTGAACCCTAATCCTCTTCTATAAACTCAAACCAAAATATATAACCTCGTTTAATTTTAAAATATAAACCCTAATTTCTCTTATAAACTCAAACCGACATGTAACCTCGTTTAATTGTAAAATCTAAATCCAAACTCTTCTTTACAAACTCAAACCGATGTTTAACGTGTTTAATTGTAAAATCTAAATTCAACCCTCTCTTATAAACTCAAACCAATATATAGTTTATTCCTTTTTTTTTTAAGTGGCAAATTTTGATTGGTTAGGAAAAGAGGGAGCGAGTAAACTAAGTGTTATAGATTTTTTGAAAAGTAGATTAAATGTATATGCATAATTATATTTAAAGGCTTGTGGGTTGTGCCTGTAAATTGTCAAAGGTTTGCCACTTCTTTTTTTTTCAATTTAATATAAAAAATCATAGCCCACTTTCAAAATATCATTCATATATGCAATTAGATTCTAAATATATCAACAAAGGAGCTCTTCTGTTCATTCAAAAT